GATTTTATCTGGCTGCACGGTTTTAAACCATGTAGCTGGGGAAAGTTACTCTTCTGGGTCTGTGGCCTGGTCTGGTGAGACTCCAGGCCCTGAGGCCTGACTGTCTGGGTTAGAATTACTTAGCTCTTTCATTGGCTGCCTATGGGCAAGTTTCATTTTCCTATGTAAAATGGAGATCGTAAAGGTACCCACAGCAAATGGTAATGTGAAGATAAAATGAGGCAGTACAGAATGTTTGGAATCCTGGCTGACACATCCTGAGCATTCTGTCAGTCTTCACTGTGATTGTTACTGTCAGGATTAAGCGGAGCAGCCATATGTGAAGTGCTTAGCTCGGATCCTGGCCCAGAGGAAGCACTCAATGTTATACTCTCTGAGCTCCCCACCAGCCCAGCCTGGGAAGGTCCTGGGTCAAGGGACAGGTGTCAGGGGAAAGCATAGGAGGCCCTTTTACAGGCTCCCAGCAAGGTCAGACCTTGGAGAATCAAAATCTCTAGGAAGTTTCTTCTCTTTCTTAGGCAGCAGGAACAGGGAAGTCCCCATAGCCGGTCTGCTTCATGAGGAGAGAACTTCGATCAGCTTTATGAACTGTTGTATCCTCACTGCCCAGCATGGTACCAGTCCAGAGCAAACACTCTGGAAGTGCTTGTTAATGACTGCAGGATGGACTGAGTGGAGAGGGACTTGCAGCCATTGGTGAAGGGAGAGAATATTGACTGTCACTGAGTTTGAGGTAGTGGGAAATAGGAAAGTCAGATTAACTAGATCAATTAATAGCTAATAACCAAATAGGTTAACTTAAATTTAATACATTAAATTTAATGCTTTCTGTCCCAGATCTGTGCATTGATACAGATTTGGAGACTATAGTTCATTAAGTAGTGGAAAGGCAAGTCCTCACTGAAGTCTGTATTACAGAAAAGCAGAGAGGTCCTTAACATCTTCATCTTCCATCTACCACAGTGATCAGTATTAACCCCCAGGACAGGAGCAGCAAGGACAGGGTGCTGGGAGACTGGGCCACTGCAGAGGGAGGGGAACCAGAGGCCTCAGGAAGGAGCTGTGGCATGGTGGCTGCCTGTGCAGGCTGTCTTCTGCACTCTGGACAGCTGCCTCCTGCACCTCAACCTGTAGTCAGGCAAATGGCGATGGGTTCTCAGAAAACCTTACTGTGCCTGCCTCCTGCCTCCACTCTGGCTGCTTCTCTCACTTCCTCATCTCTGGACACATTGGTCATTTTGCTGACTGCTCTTAGAGCACCCAACTCAGGATATAGTCCCCGCTGTACCTTTTCCTGGCAGATGTGTGTCCTCCCCAAACCGTCCACTTCTGGTGTCCTAACATGGTTCCCTGAGCATCCTGTCTGTAGTGGTACCTCTCTCCATCACTGGGACCCCTTTCTGTGCTTGATTTGTGTTCTGATTGTCAAACACTGTGTGCCTGTGTTTGATTTTGTCTGTCTTCCTTACCACAATGATGCATTGTTGGGGCAAATGTGATGCCCAAAACATTACCCTACCTCCTGAGGACTCAGAAATATGTGAGTACATTAAAATGGAGTAGGTGTTGCAGTTTCTTTTAGATAAGATCAATCTGGGAAATAATGCCAGGATCCAATGATGACTCTTTAAGAGCCAAGTTGACCCTGTTCAGTTTTAAGAGTACATCTAATACTGTTTGAAAAAAAAAGTGTATAT